GAAGAAGTGGGACAGCCACCTGTCCAGCAATTGCACCCCTGCTGATTCTGCTGCTTCGTCGTCCGAGCGTGGTTGTGGTCCCGCTGTCACCACGGTTGGTCTTGTTGGCTTTTTGTCCCACAGTGCCAACAAGACCAAGTGGAAGGATGCGTACCGCTGCGTGGACGCAAGCACGGCAAATGCGGAGAGAGTTTCAAACGGTTTGAAGTTTGCGGGGGTTGGCGGAGGGGCGCTTTGGCCGGTGAGCCAGCAGGGGCAGAATCAACGGTATCGTTTTGCAAACCACGCGTTCACGCTGGTGGCGTCGGTGACGATTCACGAGGTTCCGAGCGTCGCGAGTCCTTTGCTGGGTGCGAGCCTGGACTCTTCTGGTGGCAAAAAACTCCTGGGGCTCTCGTACGACGAGAAGCACCAGTGGCAGCCAATATACGGATCAACACCGGTGACGCCGACCGGATCGTGGGAGACGGGTAAGAGGTACCACGTGGTTCTTACGATGGCGAATAGAAACGGCTCCGTGTACATTGATGGAGAACTTCTGAAGGGTTCAGGGCAGACCGTTGTGCCAGACGAGAGGACGCCTGACATTTCCCACTTCTACGTTGGCGGGTATGGAAGGAGTGATATGCCAACCATGAGCCACGTGACGGTAACCAATGTTCTTCTTTACAACCGCCAGCTGGATGCCAAGGAAATCAGGACCTTGTTCTTGAGCCAGGACCTGATAGGCACGGAAGGAAACCTGGACAGCAGCGACGACGACGACGGCGGCCCCAACAGTACGTCCTCAACTCCCTTTGAAAGTGGTGACAAAAGTACGCCTTCGATGCCTTTTGCCGGTGGCGTCTACCGTAATTTTTTCGCTTTTGTTGACGGCGGTGCATTTTCGGCTTTTTCGGGTGGAAGAGTTTTCCTGTGTGCGTGGGCTTTGCTGCTGCATCTGCTCCTGATGATTGCTTTTGTTTGATGTAGCGAGAGAGGGTTTTCTTACATAGGTAGGTGCAGTAATAATTGGGGTGTTAACTGTTGCGGTAAATGTATGTGTGCGGGATCTCATAATAAAGAAATGATCTTCAGGAATACATTTTTTAAATTTGCGAATCTTTTGGGCGGATGTGCAAACACATGGGAATGAGTAATTTGTTGAATTTGTTTTTGGCTTTTCTTTTTTTTTTTATTTTTATCACTGGCTTTTGTTCACGAGGAGACCGCGTTGGAATGCGGTGAGGACGTTTCTTTGTTTTGTTTTTGCCCCGACTTTTTTCTTTTCTCACGGTTTCACAAATAAATCCGATGGCTCGCACGCCGTACGGCAGCACGCGCCCCTACACCTCATGGCGTTACAACTGTGCCCCAGCAAGACGCGGCTGTTGCTGGCGCTGGTCGAATACCGTCAGCCCCGTGCCAACAGCAACAATCCCGTGAGGGAAACATTGCTGGCTCATGGCTTCCCCCGACAATACGGGGCAATTGACCCTGGCACCATGCGCCGTCCAGTAGCTTCTCGAACTATTGTAGCTTCCGACCAGGACGTAAATCTTGTTGCCCTTCACAATCACTGTGGGATCCACCACACGAGAAGCAGACGATACACGACTGTTCTTGATGGCAATTTGGGTCTCCCACGTCTCCCCATCGTCCACGCTGTACTTCACCACCGTGTCAATGAGGGAGTTGTCATTGGATGTGTCGTAGCGAGCGTCTGCAATGGCAACCATCACCCCATCCACATTAACAAGGGCGGGGAGGCGGAACGAGTGGACAACTCGCTGTCGGACTTCGCCGTTCTCTTCAAATGGCACCGTCGAATTTTGCCGCTTAAACAGCTCAACTCGGCTCGATCCGGGTGCCAGGGCGTGCGCGGGCTCATTGGGGCGGAGCGCCAGAAGAAGCGGCACGAAATGCGTTAGCCAGAACATCCTGCTGGCCCCGACGACTGTCCTCCCCATCGTACTCGGTGCCTACCTGTGTGCCCTTCGAGTGTTGTTTCTAGAATTTATATTGCACCTAAATCAATAGCGGCAAGACCGTCTCTTTGCAGAGGGATTGCCGCGGGGGTGGTGAGAAGAGAAGGAGAACACACAAGTCGCAGAGGATTCAGAGCACCGGGCACCGTCCGCGGGACAGCACGCAATTGTGACAGTTCATCATTGGTGGCGGCCACGCGCGGAAACCGTCGTTGTTGTTTTTTTTCTCTACAGCCTCTTCCTCCGCGCCACCTCCGACGCCCGCGGGAATAGAAGGCAAGGAAGCAACGGCAGGCCTGACGGTCTCTCTTTCTGCGCTATCGAGCCGCCTCGCAGAAAGAAGGCACCGGCGGACGGCAGCCGCAAAGTGCGATCGCCACGGCGAGCCGGCGTAGGTGCGCCCAATCGCCGGCAGCTTGCCCGCTCCATCGCCGAGCCCCTCCCACCACCTCTGCCGCCTCGCTCTTCCCCTCAATAGGCCGCCCAAGCCGGTGCAGGAGGGCAGCGGCTGTCGCAAGAACGGGTGCTGCGCCCTCCCCTCCCGCGGCGACCGCCGCCGCCAAAACAGCCCTCTCGGCATCCGTGGCGTCCGCCTCTCCCGCGGCACCGCGCCACAGCGTCCAGCGGTGCGCCGGGCCCTCCGCAAGCTCCACCTCCGAGTGGAGGGCAATGTGCGGCGCGCCGCGGCAGCACCCGGCGACAAGAGCAGCGGACGCCTTGCCGCACGTGATCACAACATCGGCTTCTTCCTGGAGAAGGCTCAGCCTGCCGAGCGGCTCCTCGGGGTTCAAGAGCAACACGCCGCCATTTTCCAACCACGCGCGGCCGTCCAGCAATGCTTCGACGCACGGCTGCCGCTGCCCTTTTTCCGCCGCCAGGGTGAAGAGATGCCACGGATGAAGAAAGCGTTGGACGGCATGCAGGTAGGCCGCCGCGTCGTCGGGGGCGCCGCCGGCGCCAGGAAGGACAAGAACCACGCGCCGCTGCCGCGAGGCGCGCTCCGCCAAGGGCGCCGCTAGCACATCCGCCAGAACAGCCCTCGCAGCCGCCAAAGCAGGAAAGGCAACGTCGCCAAAAAAGGCCCCGCTGCGCACCACCCTCTCTCTGATGCCGTCCAGCTGCCGCAGCCCACCGGGCAGAGAGGCGAGCGCGGTGGAAAGCGATACGTCAAATACGTTCCCAAAGGCGATGGATTGAAGCAGCTGCGGCAGCAGGGGCGCGGCGCTCGGCAGTGGCTCCTCCCCGCCACCCCGCGCCACGAGCAAACGAAACAGATCCACTTGCCACGTGCTGGCGGGAACGCGCAGCTCCATGGATGGGTCCCGACGCCGAAATGGCCCAGCGGCGCCCAGTTTCTGTCGCGGCGGCGCGCGGCGTCGGCAGGTGGCGGCCAAAGAAGTCGCCATGAGCTCGTCATCCTTGGTGCCACGGGAAAGCCGGCATGTTATCAGAGCCCCGGCACCGCCAACAGCACCCAGAAGCCTCCCCATTGCCGCATCGACGCCGCCATCGCGCGACAGCCCCTCTGCGTTTCGCTCGTCGCAGTCCGTATCTCCACAATCCTCGGTGAACCACACCGCCGACGCAACCGTCAGCGCGCCGCTTCCCTCCCTCCACCGCCCGGGCGGCAGCCAGCCCCCGAGAAGACCCAGCGCCGCGCGCTCGTCCCGCACGTCTTCCGCAAGAAGACAAAGCCAGCTCACGTCCCCGGCAGCGGCGGGCGCGGCACGAGCACAGACACCATCAATGAGATAAAGCCGGTGGCCCCGGAACGCCATGTACACGTTAAAGCGACGCAGGGCATCGTAGGTATCGAAAACGCACAACACAACATGCTCTTGCACCGCGGGTTGCCAGTCCGCGGGACGCCGGAGGATCGCTCGACACACCGCACGAAACGCACGAGCAAAGAAGGCACCCACGCTTTCCGGCGGTGCATGCGTGACTCGTATCGTGCCCTGCTCGCCCTCGTCCTCCGCCTCTCCTGACGACGGCGGGGGCGACGAGGAAGGCGTCTGCGGTGGCGTTGGCGGCGCTGCCGTGTCCGAGGGCGGCGGCCCATCCCCGACCTCACCGCCGCAATCGCTGTCGCACGAGAGCTGTTGACCACGCGCTGTGTCGGACAGGGTCGGCTCATGCCGCGCCGCCGCACGCAGAGCACGCTCGGCGAAAGAGCAGCGGACGCCGCCGCGCGCAAAATCAGGCCACGGGCACGGCACCAACACGTACAGGGGAACCGCCCCGTCGTCCACACCAGGCTCAGCGTTCACGAAGGCCACCGTTGCTGTGCCGGCGCAGGCCTGAATACCGGTGACCTCCGCCAGCGCGTAATGGAGCGCCCCCGCGCGCCGCCGCCTTGGTGCAAAAACAACGCTGCCAACCGCAAAGCCGTCGCCGAGACCGCGCGCCATCAGCCGTGTCGCGGCAGAGCCTGGGGACGGCTGGCGCCCCCGCCGTTCTCTCGTCCACCCCCGCGTCTGCCGATCCATGACGCCAGGAAGTGCCGAGGAGCAAAAAGAAGAGAATGTGAGCCTGGATGAGGCCTTTCCACTATGCCTAGAAGAAAAGATGGGAAAAAGAAAAAGGAAAAACTGTTGGGACTAATGCGCTCAGCAAACACACCGCTCCGGAGAGGGGTCCCACACGCCCATACACCAGCTGAAGAATTTGTTCGCACAGCCATCTGCAACAGCAGGGACTGTGGTGGAGTCGCAAAGCGGCAGCCCTCGGGCCCGCAGCCGCCGCAGTCCCCTCGTGGAGAGCAGCGGGGGCGAGCGAAATGGGAAAAGAAACTGCCCCGCCACGCTCCAGCACGGTAAAATTGGAAACAAAAAAAAAACAAGTAAAAAATAAAGAGGCAGAGGTCTGAACAAGGCGCCCTGTTACCCACTGGGCCCTACCTGGTCGCATGCCTTTCACCAATGAGCTTCCAACAAACAGACCCAATCAGATAAAAAAAAAAAAAAAAGAACGGCATGCAGGGAGCGAATTACACTTTTTCACGCTTCTTTTCGCTTTTTTTTTCTTCTTCGCAACGCCTAAACCAGTGTATGGTGACACACCCCTGCCGTTGCGAGCAGGATGATGAGAGTTCTTATGCTCCCCAGGGCGTCGTAGGCGGGTTGCGCAAGCTCTCCCCAGACCATTGCGGCCATTGACCCAAGTGCCACGCCCTCTGCCACTTGTATCGCATCCCCGGAAACCGACGGCATGCAAATGGCAATTACATAATACGCTATCGCCTGCGCCAAACGCCCTAGTAACGCTGAGCGCATCGTCTGTTTTAGCCCGTAACGTTCCAGCGCCACCATCGCCATCAGCATGCCTTCCGAGACACCATGAATCAACTGGTGACGAAAGATGGCAGGGAACCCCGGGCTGCTCACAATAAGGCCCAATCCCGCTCCCTCTGCCACGCTGTGTGCAACCATCGCCGTGGTCGTCGCACTCAAGCCGGTGTCGTCAAAGTAGTGGCTTACTTGTAAAACGAGCCTGTAGCCGAGAGCCACACCAGCAAGAAAATAAAGTGCATCGGGTGAGGGAGTTCCTGTCCGATAAGTTTGAAGAATGCCTGGGAAATGCGGCTGAGCCATTCCAAAACACGAGTAGAGGACGATGCCTGCGGCAGTAGCCCTGGCAGTTGGCTCTAACACCACCAAGGCTCGGGAATTACGCTGTCGCTTTAAAAAGAACAGCGGGACATAATACAGCAGTATACCAATGGCGGAGACCAGCACGAGCTCAACGCACTGGCGGGCAATATTGCCCTCTGAAGCCCACACCGAAGAGAACATTTCCCCCATAAACCCATAAAACTGAAGTAAATACAGCAACGACAAGAACAGAAAAAAAAAAAAAAAAAAAAGAAGGCGGCAAAAGCAAAAATGTTGAACCCACGCGAGGCTCACGGAAAGAAGTCTGAGGACCCCAGCCAAACCCAAAAAGCCACATATATATACATATAACCAAATCAAGCAAGCAACCAGGAAAAAAAAAAAAAAAAAAAAAAAAAGTGGTGTTGGTCAACAGGCAGAAACCTCCCACTCCTCACCAACGCCGCCACCTCTTCGGCGTTCAGAAACGGCACGAAAGAACAACAACAAAAAGAAAAAAAAAAATGTCTGATTTCTAAAAACCCCAACGCCTCTTCCTCTCCGTCTCCCCTTCCGACAGACAAACGCATATACACATATGCCCACAAACGCTAACATCACATACAATCACAGCTTCCCACTAACGTTTAAATGGGGGGTGATTTCCCTACGAAAAAAAAAAAGGAGAGAAAGGAAGAAAGAGAGAAAGAGAGAGAGAGAGAGAGATATAAGTGGAGAGGCAAATACGAAAGTAAATGCATCGTGTAAAGGCCGGATGCAACAATTTTGTGCTCGCGACGTTTTTAACTCACGTCTCAACGCATCCATTTTGTTGTTGTTTTTGTTGTTGTTGTTGTTGTTGTTTTGTGTGTGTTTTTGTTTCTTTTTTTTCCCTCTCCTTTTTTTTTTTTTTTGCTTGTAAGCAAACAATAATAATAATAATAATAATAGATGTAGATATATGTATGTATATATATATGTTCAATATTTACTTCTTTTTTTTTTTTGTTTTTTCTTTTTGGTTTAAAAGAAAAAAATATATTCATTTATGCACGCGCATACATAAATCGACGTATGATGTCTACATTCACCTCAATGTCGTTTCCACCCCCCTTCTTTTCTTTTTTTTTTCTTTTTTTTTTTATAAATTTCCCCCATCTCCTCCTCGTCGTGCTGTTGTCTACATGCATGTGTGCATCGCAGGCCATGGATGAATAAAAAGTAAGCTTCAGTGTACATTTCAAAAAAAAAAAAAAAAAAAAAAAAACGGATGCCCCTCTTCCCCGCCTTGTGAGTCCAATAAAAACCACACGTTGTTGCAAATCGCACCCTCACAATCGCAGGAAAAAAGTAAAGAAAAAAAAGGCGGGTTTGGGGAAATTTAAAGAAAAAGAAAAAAGAAAAAAGAGGAAGTTGCAGAATTGACAGCTTATTTTTATTCATTTGCTTTTTTTTGTTTGTTTGTTTTTGTTTTTTTGTTTTTGTTTTCTTACTTTCTTTCTTGTTTGTTTGGTCTCATGCTCTTCTTTACAAAAAAAAAAAAAAAAGACGTCTTTCTTTCACCTTGCATGATTTTTTGTTTTTGTTTTTTGTTTTTGTTTTTGGGATTCATTGTGTAAGTACATGCCCATTATATATATGTATATGTATGTATTTATACATCATGTATGGAAACCCGAAGAGGGAGAAATAAAAACGGTGGGAATAGAGGAGGGGCGTGTCTGCATGGCAAGGCGCTACCACCCATCAAAGACAGGAAGAAGAAGAAGAAGAAGAAGAAGAAATAATAAAAAACAACTGAAAAAGAGACGCATCGCTCGCCATAATTGAAGCCGGCCATAAACAAATGACAGTTGCATCCCCTTCTCTTTCTTCCGTCTTCTCCTACTTTGCGTGTGTGTGTGTGTGTGTGCCCTTTTGAGTGCCTGCTCCTTCACAGGGTTTTGCTGCCCTTCAATTTGTGTCTGCCCTCCCCATCGTTTGTGGTCATCATCCCCTTCCCCTCCCGTACGTGCAATACACACGTGACTAAAAACCCGGTATTCCTCTCTGTCCCCACCACCCCCACACCCCACGCAACGCTTCATAAAAAGCGTAAAAACACCAACACATAAACCTCATGACTTCTCCATCCGCACATGCTGACGGCGGCCAGTAGACTTCGTGACAAGCACAGGCGATCCGCAACGTGCGCTGCGTGGATGACGTGGCCGGGGTGTGCGCTGCAGGTGCTGCCACCGAAGAGGGCTAATGCCATGTGAACCTCGTCGCACCGGCAGTGAGTACTCCTGCGAAAGAGGCACACGCGCAGAAGGTGGCATTTGTACATCGGTTTTTTTGCTGCTTTTAACCCCGCGAGGCGTTGGGTGCGTCACGGGGGTGCGCTTCGACAATGAAGCCTGTGCGGTTGCTGTGTCCCGTGACACGCCATGAAATTCCTCCCGTGTCTCTGTTGGCTGCCGCGGCTCCCGTTGTGACGGCCTAGACGTGGGTCGCGGACTGCGCCACGCGGCATTTTGCGCACGGATGGTGGAGGGCGAAACCATATTCGAGAGGCGTCGTGACAGGTAAAACACTGGTGCTGGCCGCGGTGTACTCTCCGTGCCGCAGGGTGTCGCTGCGTCAAGCGCCGGGGCGGAAAGATCCGTCTGGTTACTGGCCCGGTCGTTGGTGGGGGCAGCGCGGGTGTCGGTTGCCAGCAGGGCTCGGTATTTTTTAGCGTCCTTTCCACGGCTCGACCGGGGCGTGATGGGCAATGAATTGGCGCCTTGCTGAAACATCCATTGCCTCCCGCCTCGCAACAGAGGCGATGGTTCACGAAGTTCTGTGTCCAGCTTCTCCGCATCCGACGGCGAAGAACGTATTGGCATCCAGCCGCCCATGAGGCCTGCAGATGGATAGACTATTGCGCCGTTTGCAGACATGCGACGTGGGCGGCCAGGGTGTTGGCAACGTTGTGAGGCGTACTTGGCGAGCTCCACAATCTCCTGCGCAGTGCGCAACATCTCGTGACAGTCCCGCTGGCAGCGGCGCATATCACTGGCGATGCGCGGGTGCTCGCCAATCTCCGGCAGGAGATATTCCATTTTCTCCAGGTAGCGCACCGAATGGCTCTGACACGCGTGCGCGTGCTCCAGCACCTCTGGGTCAACAAAAAGGTTCCGCCACGAACCCGCCAGGTTCTCCTGGAGCTTTGACCCCTCTTTAAGAACAAACGCACGCACCCTGTGACGAAGCGCCTCAAAAAGATCGACTGCCGGCAACGCTCGTGGTGCCGATTGTCGACTTCGCCCACGGCGTTGGGATTTCGTCAAGTCATCCGTTACGTATTCCCTTCTGCGGTTCAGACTTGGCGAGAGCGTGCGGACATGAAGCTCCCCCCGTTGACGCGGTTGCAACACCCCCTTCGTGGGGTCTGTCAAGAAGTTGATGGCACGCGCTTCCAACCCCGTCGCGCTTGTAGGGACCTCACTCTCACCGCCGGCGTATTCGATACCCGCTGCTACGTTTTCCCCGTTAATTGGGTGCTGATTGCCGGGTTGAATGGCATCGGTGGCGGCGGGCAAAGAAACCTCAAAAGCGGTGAAGCGATTGGTGAGAAGCGCGTGAAAGAGGCTTCGCTCGCCGATAATAGGAACCGCAATGCCAGTGCGATGGGTGTCGTCTAGGAGCCTCCGGAGACCATCTAAAGAGTGGTGCTCTTGACGCCGCATCGCCGCCTCCGTCTCCGCATCCACCACAACGTACTGCATGGCTGCCGTACTCTCCTCCTCTTCCTTTTCTTTCGTGGTGGGGTTGTCGTCCTCCGCAAAATGGACCTCATGATCTTCATTAACCGCATCGCCACCTTCTGTCGTCGTGGTTGCCGTTGTCTTCTTCGCTGTGGCCGCGGCCGTCTCCTTCTTGATGACCACAATATCCTCCAAATGAAGCACCTCTCCACCGCAGGTCTGCACAGGCTCCTTGTAACGGTGTTCCACCGCGTTCGTTAAAAAACAGAAGCTCTTCCCTTTGAACAACGCGTCACGTGAGCGCTTTCGTGTGGCTGTGGTTGGAATAGGGTACAAGGGGAAAGGGCAGACGTCTGATTCCGGCCGGAGATAAAAAGCCGCGTGTGCAGCCGTTGCTCCACGGTATTGGACCGGCACCTCAAAGCGGACTGGTGGTGGCAGAACGGTGAGCGGCGATGAGGCACTCTGCGCGAGGGCGGCAAACCACTCAAACACATACGTGGGCTGCACGATGGAGTAGCCACTTGCGAGCGCCATAAGGCACAACGGGTCGTCATTGATAGCCTCCACACAATGTAGCTTGCTGATTGGCTGCGGCATGTCAAGATGCGGCGTGGGTCCGCTCTGCCCTGTTAACGTGGCGCCCAGGCGGTAGTACATAAACTCCAACTCCCGCACGTGGTCGGAACTGAAGGCGTTGCGAGCGATGCTCACAAGAAGTGGGCGAAAGCGGATACGAAGACGAATGTGGGCGCCAAACTGCAGCTGCGCGCCATCTGCGAGGTACACCGGGTGATCCTCCACCTCCGTCTCATTCGCCAGGACGTGACCGCCCTCACGGAGGTTCACTAAGCGCAGCACAAGTGGGTCGTTCCCCTGCAATTGGCCCGGCGACAACTCCGCCCGCTTCTCCCTCTTCTTCTCCTCCTCCTCGTCGATGCCTTCGGAACCGTGCTCGCCCCTCCCGTCGCGCAGCCCATCCATCTCGGGGTGGCCCAGCGACACCACGTCACTCGTCTCCTCCCGCGTGTCGTTGAGAAAACTGCCCGCGACTTCGCCGCTGTTTTCCTCCAATTCCTTCACGCCATCGTCGTTCCCATTTGCCCCGTGACGAAGTACCCGCTTCTGCTGCTGCTCCAGCGCCTGGCTCTCACGCATCACGGTCAACGAGGCATGCCTCGTCACAATGTCGCCGTGGTCTAACACAATGTCAGAGCTGCGATCCCTGCCGACAATGTACGGCTCCCGGACAACGAGGGAGTAATATGGTGCACTGCCAAGCGGGCGGCCGCTCGCAAACTCCAAAGAAAACATAAGCACCCAAAAGACCGAAGAACACTCCCCAATTATTACAAAAAAAAAAAAATCGTGAAGACAACAGGCGTCAATTTCTTCCTTTTTTTTTTTTTTTTTAAGGGCCACTCGGTCACACACGATCGTTACAAATGGGAAAAAAGAAGATGCACTCTTTTTTTTTTTTCTTTTTCTTTTTTGTTGTTGTTGTTTTTTCGCCGGCCAAAAGTGTCCACTCGTCACCCTTCTTCTTCTCCTTCCTTTTCCCTCTTGGTCTTCTTCGTCTTGTTGTTGTTACCGACGCCCCCTCCCTTTTTTTTTTTTTTTTTTTTCTTTTAAGCCAAACCTTCCCGTCTGTTTGCTTGTTTTCTTGTTTTTTTGTTTTTTTTTTTGTTTTTCGCTGCTGGCACAAGTCGTCACACACACAAAAAAAAAAAAAAAAAAAATGCTGCGGAGGGGGGCCGAACACAGTCACCCCGCACCCACACAGTCACACAGCCACACTTATGACGGCAAATTGTCTCGTGAACAGGCCAGCAGGAAAGGGACGAAAAATATAATAATAATAAAAAAGGAAATTGCCCGCGGATGCCAAAAGAAACCAATTTTATAAATAAATATAAATATAAATATATGTCCTCAAAAAAAGTCCTACACTGACAAATAATATTCCTCGTTCAAACAACGGCACAGAAAGAAAGAGAAATGAGGAAAAAGAAGAAGAAAGGAAGTGTAGTGGCAGACACACACACACAAAGAGAGAGAGAGACAGATACAACAAAGAGGAAAAAATAAAAATAAACAATTAAACAAAAACAAAAGGGAAAAGGAAGTATAAAAATAATATATAAATAATCATTAATGCTTTAAGACGGCATATATATATATATATATATAGACATACAGAAGTGTGGGTAATATTTGTAAATGCTCCTTTTCCATCAGTTCTTCCATTTCCCTACAATCATCATGCCTTTGACACTTCTCCACCCTCACCACACTCACAATCCGTGCAAAAAAAATAACGCAAACGGGCTGCAGGCTAAGTCTCCTCATTTGCGTACGGTGAAAAGCGCGTTGCATGAGTGCAGATGAGGCTGGAGGGAGGGCGGAAGAAGCGGTCGGATCGGTCAACTGGAGGAATCCTCCTCTGCGGCCATCGCGGACGTTCCCTCCTGCTGCTTCTGGTTCTGGTTCTGCTTCTTGATCTCCTTCAGCAGCTGCAGCAGCTCCTTCATTCTATTAAACACAGGAGACTTGTATTTGCGTGTGGCATCCGCCGCAAGTTCATTTAGCTTCTGTCTCTCAAGGGGCAGCGCCGCGTACGCCTCCACGCACTCCTTCATGGCAGCAATATGGTTCAGCGCCGTCTCGCCGCCCTCGGCGGTCAGGCGCGCCTCACTCGCCTCAACGCTCTTGATCACTCCCCGCATTTCCTCAATCGTCGTGGTAAACTCTTCCTTTGCTGCCACCATGGCAAAATCTGTGGCAGACACTCCTTTCCCATCCTGCTTGGTGCATTTCTGTTGTAGCCTCGACAACGCATCAAGGTGTTTCTGCGAGAGATCAATGAGCCGCTTAAATTTATCCAGCATCCCCCGCAACGACTCAATCTCGCGATAGGCGCTGCCGTAGTCTTGGTCCCCAGTTTCTTCCGGTGGTGTCTCGCTGCCATTCGCGTACACCGTCAACCCCGCTGGGACGTATCCCCATTTCATGTCGCATGCTGGAATGTCTGCCATCATGGCACTCGGCACGTCATGACGCTGTGCGGCTGGCAGCGGCTGTTCACCCTGTCTGTCCCGCTGCCGCATCTGCGCCGTAAACTCCCGCTCCGATTCCCGTAAGTCGTTTGCCATCTGCGTCGCCGCCAGAATTTTTGGGTCCTCCGGCGGTAACTCGGAATTCACCCGTGCGAGCCGCGTGAATTTGTAGTTTGTGAAGCAGACGTACTGGTACGTCAGGTGGGGGATGGAGGGACGGAACGGGGCGATGAAGAGCGGAGCGTCCAGGAGGCTCTCCAGCATCGTGTGGTTCTCCATCACGGTGGTGAGCAGCAGCTTGCCGCCCGGCCGGAGGAGCAGCTTTGCGGTCTGAACGTACGCCGCCCAGACATCCTCCGTGATGAACGGTGGGTCGGCCAAGACGTAGTCAAAGGCAGCGAAGTGCTGCACCGGCACATGATCCGGCTTGTGAAAGTCGTAGTGCACAAACCCCGGGTCTTTTTCCCACTGCCGGTCAAACTCAAACAGACGACTGCTGGTAATCAGCGAGGCCGCAGTTCCCCCAGCCGCTAAAGCAGCCGCAGTGCCGTCCGTGTCGACATCATCCTTATTCGTCATCGCTTCATCCCTTTCACCCACCAAAGTAAAGTACAGTGACGGGGTCGACAGGAACGCACATGCCGTTGCGTGATGGCGCACCTCATCGAGGAGGACATTGATGGTTTTCGGCGAGTACCAGTACTGATTGAATTCTGTCTTCTCCTCGTCAAGACAAAACTGAATGTCATGCCTTGTTTTCATTAGTGTGTCTGTGTGTATGTGTAATGGATCGGCTGTGGTTTCCAATACGGCCGGTGTCGTGTGTGTTTGTACCGCAGCAGCGCCTCCCCCTTTTATTCGAGGGCCCTCTAATGGCTGGCCATGTAAAGAGAAAAGAAAAAAAAAAAAAAAAAAGAACCCATAACATCCGAGTGCATGCATGCCCAAATTGCACACAGAGAAGTACATCTATCCATCTGACCACATATATATATTTATATATAGGGATAAAGAGAGGGAGAAAGTTATGTCTCTAATCGCGGTGCGAATATCATGAGAGTCCTCCACTCCACCAACCACTCCCTCTCCCACCCACAAACACACTGACACACACTCTCTCTGTGTGTGTGTGTGTCCCTTTCCCAGTGGGTGTTGAAGGAAGAATGAAAATGCGGCCAGTTATGCAGGAGGCAGGCAAAGCAACAAATTCCCATGCATAGATCGCAGCAAATCCAGTCGTCAAAGCAGGCATGAACGTCGTGGAGTTCTTCGCACACAGAAAAAAAAAAAAAAAATTCTTTTAGGCGTGCAACACATGTATAATCTAAAAATAATGACTGAGACAACGTATGCATGCACTCACAAGGCCAAAATCAAAAATATCATCAAAATCTAAAAAAAAAAATTGGTTTTTATGCATCTTTTTTTTTTCTTTCCTTTTTTTTTTTTTTTTTCACCACCACCGACCCGGCATCACATCAAACTTCAATGGGGAAGAAAAAAAAAGAAAAAAAAAATGAGAGAACTTGTCCCTCTTATGTGGATGGGTTTCTTTTCCTCTCCGTGCATGCTACAACCCACTCAGGCCCCCACAAAAAGCTGCAGGTACAAATATATATATATACACTTATGTACGCACGCATGCACGCAATTTTTTCTTGTTGTTTCTTTAAAAGTAGGGAGAAGGGCCCGCTCTTCTTTCTAATTCCCTCTAATTCAACTCGGCGAGACTGGCGGCAAATAAATTGTAGTCAATGCGGGTGTCTAATAGGGGCGGTGATGGCGGTAGCGGCTGCCCCGGTAGACCCAACTGCTGTCGCACGCGCGGGAAGCATGTCGCGAATGCGTGTGAGGGGCTTTGGCTGCCGCCGCAGCTGTTGTCCTCCCCACTGTTTTCTGCGTCCACATCGCCACAGATGCCAAAGCGCTTTGCCGCGTGGCGCTCCCCAAAGTGCTCACGAAAGCAACGCCAGAGACTCATGCACAACTCCATTGCGCTCTCCTCTGCGGCACAAACCTCTTGTCGCGTCCTTTTCCTTTCCGGCGTACCACTGCACACCGAAGAAGGCGAGGCGAGACCCCACAAGAGATTTGCCGACCCCTCGCTGCGACAGACCGGCAGTGCGTCCGCCGTGGCATCGTTAAACAGCACCAGCCGCACCACGCGGATCACTACAGCGAGTGAGAGAATCCCCACATCGGTGGGGTCGTAGCCACGCAAACGGCGTAGAATACAGCCCGCACGCGCCGCCAGATTGCGTCGCAGCACCACAGTGTCTTTCGATATCCACGGGCTGCCGGCCCCATCGCCGCTCGGCCCGGTCAATGATCGACCAAACGCCAATTGCGGCGAGTCGCCAACCCAAGTGCAGTCGTCGTCGGCAACACCGCTGGCGCTGCCCTTGCCGTTGCTTTGGACGCAATCACTCTTATCGCACGATGCGCAGCGGTGGGCATGAAGAGCGGCAAGAATCCGTTTGCTCGCACGGCGCACCTCCTCTCTTGCGGATTCGATCAACGCCTTCAATTCCTCACTTGGGCGCACAATTGAGTTCGGCATCGCCAAACGCTCGTCGTCAACCACGCCGCAGCCGTCGCCCACCGTGTTTTCCATCCGTGTCACATCCTTCTCCTCACACGCCGCCATGCCCGTCGCATTGCAGCACTTGGAATCATGCGAAACAGCACGTTCATTATCGTCATTTTCGCTCCTCTCGCCCTTCTGCGCACTTCCGCCGTCACTGCAACCCGCGAGTGCGTCGGCAAAAAGCGCCACGGGGGCAACAGCGGCATCACTGCAGCGGACGTCGAGCACCATCGAACCGCAGGGCTTATTTTCGGTGGTTGCAGTAACAACAGGAGCGAGGCGTCCGCGCCACGGGGTTGGAGTGGGACCGTCCACAAGAACCAGCGACCCTCCGCCCTCGACCGTTGGTATTGGCTGCCGCATGGTGGCGGTAGACGCAACGCTCAAAATGCTGCGCTCAACGCTTTCCTCAAGATTTGTTGTCTCCACAAGACGCCGGGCCCGCGGCAGATGAGAGTCCGTGTTTGGCCACATCGCTTTATCCACCACATCGCCCTCCCGCCCTCCCAATGAAATTGTCGCAGATTCAGCAGCACCCTCAAATGAAGAATCTGTGCCGCATAAAACAAAGGACGTCGTTAATGGCGACGATAAAGCCGACCGCTCACGTTTTCCACGACTTTGACGTGTTGGCAGCCCCTCCACTCCAATAGGGAAAGTCATAGCGCCAGCAGTAGCAGTAGGAAGAAAATGGTTAACTTCTGCTGTGTGTGAGAAGGGGGCGGAGGTCAAAAGCAGGCTTTCTCTTCCCTTTTTGATCGGTCTGCCCTCCCCACCATCACCGTCTTCCTCCTTGTTCTCTCGGGCTTCCTCAGATGTGTCGTTGAAAACAACCGGCGGCCGTCCCAAGGACAGCAACGGTGTCGTTGTTGTTGGGCTGCAGCGCGTGGTAGCGTCCACACCCTCCGCCAAGTTGTACTCGTCCTCGGAAAGGTGAAGATTTGGGAAATTTGACGGAATGATTGCCGCCCGCGGTTGCGGTGACGGTGACGATGGGCGACTTTCGGACTGTCGTCGCGAGGTGAGAGCGCTGGCGAAAGAGAACGAGACCCATCGACTGCTCTGAGCCAAACTCTCCTCTTCCTCCTCGTTTCCTCCGTCTCCTCCTTCCCCGTCGCCAGCGCTCACTCTTCTCTCGTTGGTGCCACCCGCAACAGGAACGTCACAAACCAGAGAGAAACGGCTGCTGCTGTTGCTGTTGACATGATCTTCGTCCGCTTCCGTCATGACGGGGCGGTGGAGCGGCGGAATGGCGGAAAAAGTCGGCGTGAGCGGCCTCCGCACGACTGCCGCTCGAGGACGTGAGCGCGTTGGCGATGTCGGTGCTGTCCGTGCAGTCCGTGCAGTGGCCACCAAGCCACGACGACAGTGCAGAGACCGCCATTGTTTAGAATTCCCCAGAGTGTTGGTGTCGCGGTACTTCAGCGGCGTCGGTGGGGGCGGTGTGCTCGGTAACGACGCCAGTCGCAGGGAAGGACGGCCCTGGAGCTGCGAGAGATCCGCCGTCGACTCCCCGTCGCGATAAATGTCATCCACTTCCATGCGGCAGAAATAAATATTTATTTATGTACGCGCGGCACGTCCTTCTCCCCTCCCCTCTCGAGAGACAAATACACACGGGAGAATATCTTAAATAAATATATATTCGTATAAGTATATACCGTATGTATGTATGTATGTATGACAGGCTGAAACGGCTCTGCGGCGGGCGTCACTCTATACAAGCACACACACACACACACACACACACACAAACACGCCTTTATTCTCTTCCGTTATACCTGCAGTACACATAAGAAGAGGTAAGGTGCAAAAGAGAGAAATTATCATCATTAATGATGAGAGAGAAGTCATTCTCAATAAGAAAATAATAATAAGAGTGTGCAGAGAGGAATTCACATTCAAATGAATTAAATGGCAAAACAACAATGCAAATAAATAAATAAAATGAGAGGTAAAATGAAAGAAGAAAAAAAAAAAAACTTAAGGAAAGAAAAGTTCAAAATTAACAGCATTGTTCATCGTTAATGACTGACAGTCTTGTTTCCATTCCTCGTTAAGGAGGTGTCTATTGCCCTTGCAGCCGCTGGGCCATCAAAATACCCTCCACTCGTGTAATATCGTCAAGCAACCCTATAATTCGAGCGTTGAAGATGTCATCGTCCAGCAGTGTGTTGTCTGTGGAGAAACAACGGTCCTCCAGCTCAGCCAACCCCGCCTCCCGCTCAGCCTCTTCGTCCGTCGTGTACATCGCCGCCAATTCCGATGAAGACAAGGAAGAACTGACAGATGACGACGAAGAACGCAAGGAAGCATCTTTTTCTTCCCCGTCTTCATTTTCATACACCGTCATGGTGGGAGGCATCGGAATGCCGTTGCAGACCACGTCCTTCAGACTTATTCGGCGGTGCAGCTTCCGTTTCTTCACCCACTGCACCAAATGACGGAGCCGAAATAAATGCCGCAGCGATAGCAAGAAGGCGAATGAGCCACCACCACGTGGGGGAGGGGTTGGCAATGATGACAGTGACTCCGCAGCAAAAAGCGCCATGTTTTGTCGTGCGTGATGCAACGACTGACTGAAGTGGTTGAGAGTGAATGTCATGATTCCAAGGCGCCCAAAGTGGGTCGCGATCTGCTTAATCTTCAGTGCCAGGACGCTCCCCAACAAACCCAACGTGGCGTAGAACTGCAGTGCCAACACAAAACGCACCTTCATCGTGTTGCAACTATTCTTCCCCTTTCCTTCCCTTTCATGTCGTCTCGCCAAAGACGACGGGCTCGATAATGACGTTGCCCCACCACCAACAGCAGCAGCAGCGGTAGCAGAGGAGCCAGTCTTCGGGCTCCTTACGGTTTGACCGGCACCAGGAGAAAAAGGCCCTGCTGTTTGCGGGACCCATTTCCTTGATCTGTGTGCCCAGCCCGTGATGCAGATGGACTGCATCCCCCTAATAGGCTTCTCATCCACATTGACGTCTATGCGCACCAACGGCCATCCCCTGTGCGTGGAACCGTATCCGAAAAAATGAAATGCCTCATCATCCTCATCCTCGTCGCTGTGTGTTTTGCGTTGCCGGCGTGTCATCTGCCCTCTCCTCCTTGCCTGCCTATCGTGTGGATGAAGATGCGCACCAAACTCCAGGCGCTCCATCATCCGACAGCCGTTGGCAAGACGATTCTTCAGCACAAAAAGCGTGCCGCTACCTGTCAGTAGCACTACACGCGAGGCAACACGTGTCGAAAACTTCTCATTCGTCCCCTTGTTACGGTCGTCGTGCGTGCCCCTTCGAACGGGCAGCAGTTGCCTGCACCGCGCCGCAAAGACAATCTGAAGGGACTCTGCAGCATCGCGCTCCACGCCGAGGAGCTTCACAAATTCATCGCTAAGCTCCAAAACCCGCAAAGAGGTGGCGGGCCGCGTAGAAGCAGCCGCACCATCGTGCTGCGTCACCGCCATGACCCTTTCCCTCCCTGCTGGTTGGCTGAAGTTACGGTCTCGCCCCACACACACACAAGAAAAAAAAAAGGCAATACACACACGAGCAGCCCCGTACAAGTTGTCCCCGGCGACAACGAGCGGAAAAACGGACCGCGCCCTCAACACCCATGCGCAGCGTTACAATCAGAAATTAAAAGAAGAAGAAGAAAAAAAAGCATCGGCCTTTGGTGCCAGCGAGAGGCATTCAAACAACAGCAATGGAGAGAAACACCACAAAGAACGAGACAGACACAAAAAGACAGAAACACATATGAAAAAGAAAAAAGAAGAAACGGAACAGTAAACTCAAGGACGACTTTAAATCCGGTAAAATGCAGCCCAAACTCCACTGCCATGATTCGGCTCTTTCTTCTTCAGTATACATCTGAGATGTGCTTCATCTTCACTTTTGTTGCTGCTTTTGTTCATTTTGTTGTTGTTGACGAAAGTCGCTCAAAAAATCAGAGAGGGAGAGAAAATATATATATATACATTTTCGTCTTCTCAATGCCAACTCCCCTTTAAGCGCCAGGCAAAGAAATGCATGTGTTTTGTGTGTGTGTGTTTAGAGAAAGAGAATCTTTTAATGCTCTCTCTTTTTCGCTGGCAGAGGCCTCAGAGTCAGACCTCGAATTAACAAGGGCACAAACTCCTTCTGCGGCTCAATATTTTTCCTGGGAAATGGGTGAACCCGCTTCACCAGGCTCGTGAAACGGGGTCTCCGTTTCGCATACCATTGTCTCCCTAGCACATGTGGCGCCAGTTTGAATTTCCTTGAGCTACCGATGTAAAGATCTGACGGCCTTACAAGAGACTGGTAGTTGAATGGGCGTAATGGCATACATAGGGGATGAACTCGTGGATGCTGCAATCCCAATAAGAATCGCAATTGTCGGCCTCTAAAAAGTCTCCGCCGCATCCAACAAGAAAAAGTTTTTGGTGGTTGGCGCGCTCGCCCCTGACTGTCACGTATAAGCCGCCAGAACCCGGGGTCCCGATGCAAAATTTGAACCAAGACTTGTTCGTTTGAATAAAAGTTATTCCAATAGGGGGGTTCCTGTGTACATATGTCAACTCTGCTGGCAAAACCCGCAGCTGGCGGCTGATGCGCGACGTTTTTACCGTAACTAGGCAGTTCACCAAGCCAATGATCAGTAACGGCAAAATCACTCGGATTTGTCTTCCTCGTCTCCATTACAGGGTCTTGGGGCCAGCGTGAGCGCATTGGTGAGGGTGAATGTGATAGACTTCGCAACCGCTCCGTACTCGAGGGCGTAAACATAGTTGTACCACCGAGGACTAAATCATTAAATTGACCTTCCGCTTTATTTTTTGAAGGTATGGAAGCGGTGGGGTGCATATATGGCGAAAAACAAAACCCCGGAAGCAAATAGTTTGACGGAGCGGGCGAAAATGCATTCGCAAAGCCAGTCCCCTTATCTGTATCAAAGGCAATACCGGGGGTGGCGCCGTAGTGAGCTGAGAATTGTCTTCTCCCAGTGAGCCCTTTATTGTTCAACGCTCTGCGAAAAACCGTTTCCTTGGGTGATCTGGCAGGTATGAAAGAACGAGAGGACTGTTGCCGGCCTGGTGAATAATGTGAAGGTGCCTGTCCCCCCATTGTTGGGCCAAACAACTTGGAGAAGTCAAAGCGAACCACAGCCGCATTCCACACCAAACGTTTTGACCCCTGTCGCCCACGATCTGCCCCACGGCTAGTCATGTTTCTCTGCCTCGTGGAAAGAGATGGCAAAACTGGTGCGCTCTTGCTCCCAATGGTGCCGGCACCCGCACCCAAACCAGGATCTGCAGTGGCAGTGACGCCCTCCTGGTTTATCGCCTGTCCTTTCGACCCCTCATCATCGCCGCCCCTAATCGGGAGTTCGGGAAGGGACAGAAAAGGTGTTGTTTTCTTCGTTTGAGAAGTCGTTTGTGGATCCTTCTGTTTCCCCACTAACGCCTCAGAATCCTTCACTAGAGAAGAGGAGTGTCTGAAATGACCGCGTTGCTCTGCGCCGGCATTTTCTTCTCCTGTAGATAACTGAGGTGGATGCCGTTCGGCATCTCCCCGTTTGTCGTTTCGAGAGGTATGTGTGGGAAGTAAGTTGTTGCCCTTCTTCTTATAAGTAGAGTTGGAAGGCCTGGAAGCGGATGCGATCAAAGAAGCGCCTCCGTCTTCTTGCAGCCTCTGCGACACGGACCCCCTGTTGTCCACACGCGAAACACCACCAGAATTCAGACTTTGGCTGACACGAGACAAATTCCCTGACGTAGTTCTTTCACCGGCACTGATACGACCGCCTTTTCCGCTCCTTCGAGCTTCATTTTCACCTGCGCCCGTGAGTTCTCCACTCAGCAGCGGGGAAACATTTCCAGTGGTTACTGTTCTCCTAGACTCGCTGAGCCTCTTTGCAGGGCTCAAAACCCCCGGGCTGTCCGCCACCAGCGACGTATCGAGTTTGTCTGCCGCGTGAATCTTCCCTGAAGCACTGACACTGTTGGTGCCGCCTGTGGTTTCCGCAATCTCCGGCCTTCGTGACGGTGTCTTTCCCGCCCCATCCACGTCCGCTGGTCGCAAATCAAACGCGCCGTTAAGGGGAAATCTGCCTGTTCGCGCAATTCCAACGGGTTTTTCATTAGGGCTGGAGGATGTTTCTGAAGGCTGTCCAGAAAGAACCCTCTGGAGGCCTCCACGCGGCACCCTCTTAGGGGATGGGTGCAGACCGCCTGGACCTGACAAATTCCGCTGTGAGCGGTTCAGTATATGTAAGAGCACACGGGAGTCGGCCGCTACAACAGTTGACAAGTACTCCGCTTGCGTTGCCGCATCCGCATTGTTCTCATCCAGGTAAAATGGAATCGGCTTCGTCCCGCCTTGTTGTTCGTTCCCCTTTAAAGGAAAAAGAAACTCATGAAGGTCGACTAGCGCCGCGTGCAATTCCCCGTAATTCGCGGCAAGAGATCGTACAATTCGTCTAGTGGCAGACTTGGTTCTCTCAGACATTTCGCTCCTATCTTGCGTCGCTCGTCCCGCATGGGCGCGTTCTTCAGAAACAGCTCTTATGGAGGATCCATTTTTGGATTCCTCGCCTTGTTCGCGGAACTGCTGCTCGAATACTGGAAGCATAGAGCCAAATGGTCCAGTGGAGGCACTGTCTCTCGGTGCGAATCCAGCTCTTTCCCAGGCCTTATCGGACGCAGAATTCCCGGTGAACGATAAATCAACGGATTGCGCTGCAGCCAAAAGGCTGAGCGAGGGGGATTGCGGGTTTAGACTATGGGAGCCTGTTGTGTTGTGTCGCCCAGCACTCGATGGGTGCGACGACAATTGCAGGTTGTTGACCGGCCTCTTTCCCGCATGCCACTCTGTCTGTGTCCCCTGGTCCCGCGCTCCGGCATTTTTAGTTCTTTTTTTTATTTTGTTGGGTGGTGAGGCGGTGTTGTCGCCCCTGTTGGTGTAATCATTGGGACTCTTCTGTCCTTGTGATTCGCCGTGCTGGATAACTAGCGGTAAGGATGCGCCAGAGTGATCCATTGACCCCGTCGTTGCTGAATGCAGCTTGCGTTTCGTTCTGGATTCCCTTGGGCGCGTACCTTCCTTTGCCTTGGAGGCGGGGCTGACACTTTTCATGTACGACAGCGAGGATGCCCGCCCCTTGTCGTCTGCATTTTTTTCCAGACTTGAAGGCCGCATCGATGCCACCGAGAATCGATTTTTTCGGAGGGGCGAGCGCTGCGTTTGGGTGTCCGGCTCGGCGGTCATCGGGGACATAGCCGTGCGCTCATAGGAGGCCCCCCGTGATGTCACACTGTTGCGTTTGCTGGCGATGCCTTGGCTTCGGCGCCGCTCAGAATCCGACTCTTGAAACGGCGGGGATAAATTCCTTGCGTGACGCTCGGATAAGCTCGACGTGTGCGGGGACAGCCTCGACGCGGAGCTCCTCATAAAGTTGTTGTTGTTGTTGTTGTTGTTGAGCATCATGCGGTCCTCAGTTGATTCCGCCATGACAGCAAAACTCGGCGGGGCCTCGCACACATGCGACCCCATGGCATCCTCCCTTGACATGCAGAGCGCCTCGTACGACTCGGTGACGGTTTGCACGTGGTTGCGGTACATTGTGTGGCGCACCATAACGTACTTCCTCTCATCCATCACACTCCGGACCTTCGCCTCGAGCTCCACGACGCAGAGACGCAATCTTGCCTCGGTTGAGCGACCCTCGACGTCCTCCGCGATGCGCTTCAAAGCCTCCGGGCTGTATTCATCGGACTCACCGCCCAAATTCCCGGAAACGCCGTCGCGCTTAAGGCGCCCACCGTACCCAAGCTGCCGTCGCAGGTTTGCGATGACCGTCTCCTTCTGTGAGAGCGACACCAGCCCTTCCGCGATGCGGTTGTGCAGCACTTGCAGATCCTCGTCTCGCTTGGCCATTTTTTCTTCGATCATCTCCGCCTCCGACTTCATCCGAGTGACTTGTTGCCGCAGCAGCTCCGACATGACGCCCTGCTTGGCAATGTCTTGGAGCAGCTGCGTGTTCTTCCGTTCCAGATCGTTGGCCCGCTGCTCTAGCAGGTTGTATGACCCCTGCAGCTGCTCATGCTGCCCCTCCAGAAGGGCGTACTGCTGATGACGCGTGTGAAGATCCTCCTTCGTGCGCTCCAGTGTCGCCTTCGTCGTGGCGAAGCGATTCTGCACCGCCTCAAACAGCTCAAACGAGACCGTGATGGAGGGAACCGTGTTCCCTGGCGGCCCTTCCTCGCCGTAGAAGAGGGCCTTGATCGAGTGGTAGCCGGGATTCCCAAGTTCCTCAAGGATACGGTGATAGCCCTCACCAAACTCCAAAAGCGCACGCGCCTCGGCGGATGCGGCGGCAGCGGCAGCGGCAACGGTGGTGGTGGTGGTGGTGGTGCTGTTGACGGTGGTGGTCGCGACAACAGTGGGAGAATTCGGCGATTGTGCAGTCGACATTGGACGGTTGCTTGCAGATTCGCTGGCCCAGTTGCCGCTGTTCATCTCCGATGTCGATTCGGTTACAAGGCGTCGATGCCTCAATGCCGGCAGCGGTGGTGACGTATTGGCAGATCCATCCGACATCTTTCCTTCCTTACTTACCTCCTTTCTGCTCACACTGTAGGGCTGAATAATAAAAAATATATATATATTTGCTTATTGACTCACGTTTGTGTTTTTATAATAATCAAACGAAAATCCCTTGCAATAAACTCCTTCGTGACGCAAATTTTGGACAAAGAAATGCAGAAAATCGAGCAGAAAGAGCAGAGCAGCCAACTGAGCAGGCATCCACCGCGAAAGGCAAGCACACACACACACACACACAAACACAACTACCCCTTTCATTCCCTCTCTCTCTCTACCGCCCCAACATCACCCTTCGCACAGCAACAACTCACACTCACGCACGCAAAAAAAAAAAAAAAAAGACCAATTCACAACACATGAGCCATTGCGCTGTCCACAGAACCCCCATATGCCTCTCCGAAGAGGTTGAGGTGGCACAGCAATGGTAACAGTTGGTACCACGGCACTCGTGACGCGTGCCCCGCCTCCAGTGGCATCTCCCCCTCGTACGCCGTGTAGAATTCACTACCAAAGCCTCCAAAGAGACGCGTCATGGCAATGTCAACCTCACGGTGGCCGTAATACGACGATGGGTCAATGAGATACGGCTCCCCGGTCTCTCCGTACATCACATTTCCGCCCCACAGATCACCATGGAGAAGACTCGGCTGCACATTCTTCTTTGAAGCGTAAAAGGCACAAAACCGTTTGCTGAAGGCAACAAACATCGCCTCGCGTCTGTCACTCCAATAGCCTTTTCTCCGCGCCAAAGCCACCTGCGGTGTCAAGAGGCTGTCGATATAATACGTTGCCCAGTCCTTCGACCACCCGGCCGACGTCTTACAGCCGGCCAATGGCACCGCCACGGAGGAGCCAAACTGACCATTCGGACTTGTCTGCCGATGCACAATGGCAACCATGCGACCCAACTCCGCCATGTTACGTCGAACCCCACCCCGCATTGCTGACGGAGAGCTATGAATCCATGTCATGATGAGGTAGGCATCCCCGTTCACCTCCCCCGTCTGCACCACCCGCGGGGTGCGAGCAACATCGGACAGAAGGGACAGCCCCAGCGACTCCGCCGCGTAAAAGTCTGCCGTGGTGCCACGCTGCAGCTTCAAGAAGTACACAACATCGTCCTTCTCCATCTCGAGCCGATATGTCTCGTTAATATCACCGCCAAATACACGTTTTGCACGTGCGACTTTCGCTGAAAGAACCCGCGAAAATGTCTCCTCCAGAGGCTCCGGCATGATGAGCTCCGCGTAATCCCCTCCCTGACGTTGGCCGCTTTACACGACAAAAAGATGGCCTTGTTGGATAAAGGCGGCCGCAGCCGCCAATCAAGGAAAGAAATGGAAAAAAGAATGAACAGGAATAAGAAAAACAAAGACTTACAGCAAGGCCACAGAAAACACAAGAAAAAAAGAAAGTGACAATATCATCCACAATGAGCAAAAAAAAAAAAAAAAGCAAAAAAAGAGGAGAGAAGAAATCACTCGGGGAGAGAGAAAAGTAAAGACGGCATACACTCTACTCAGCCACCTGGTCCCTCTGCAAGCAGCTGCATATACTTTGCTCTCATGGTGTGGTAGTCTGGTGGCAGCATCCTCCCTATTGATGGCTGCTGCATGAGAGCACCTGTGATCATCTCAAAGACGATAATGAACTCCAGCGATCTCCGTCGGTTCCTACCGCAGCCCTCACAGTTTCTCTCCCCGTCCACCACAGCGTCCAGGGCACATTGAAGGATATCATTCATCACCCTTGGGTTGAGCAGCTCATCACCGGTGTCTTGTGAATGTTGAATATTCGCGTAAACGTAATTCATGGCATCCAAAGGCCTCCTTTCCGCCAGCAACACCTGAACAACCAGCACATGCGCCCGCAACCTCAGCAGCATATCAATGCCCAGTCGTCGATACTCACCACCCATCGGCAGAAGCACCATCGCCGTGGGCACCTGATCTGTAATCATGCCAGGAAGAAGCAGCTGGCGCAGCGGGCCGCAATCCAATTCTGCAGCATGAAGAAGACGAATAAGTAGTCGTTGTAGTTCGTCCACAAGTTCTAAACCCGTCCTCATAACGCAAGATGCATATTCAAAAAGGGCGTAGAAAAGGTACCGTGCAAAGTATAATTGACCTTTGGAATTTCTGCTCTCGTTTGGGGACCTCGCGTCGATTGTCTCCTCTGCGCAATCTTCTCTTGCGGATGCAGCCTGTGCCTTGGCGGTGGCTGTTTCCACTTCGCTTCTTGCAGCAACCCTTACGCCAGAGCCGCTGCAACCCCCTGCAAAGGGAGGGGAGACGAGCACCACATCCACCAAGGGAGCAAACACCTCCCGCTGCATCACAAGTTGACCGATACTCACGTCGGTGGGGAGCACAACACGACCGTCGCCATCGCCGCCGCCGCCTGGAACCGGGAAACCATCGAAGGACGTCATGCACGTGCTAAGAAAATCCTGCAGCGTCACACCGCCCCAACGACGCCACGGCGGTTCGCACGGCAGCGGGCCCTCTTCGTCCTCTACAGGCAAACATCGCCGTAAAGCCGCGGTGGAGCCCATAAAACAAGCATGGCCATTTGTCTGCGGAATTACGGCAGCAGTCACGCTAAGAAATAAAGGGATCATGCGCCCAACTCGGAGTCCCTGTCTTTTTTTTATCGCTATTCTGTCGAGAAATCTGAAGCAGCTGCTGCGTCGCGTGATGGGTGGTGACAATCTCAAAAGCATGGGCCACAAGGTCAAGACTTTCCTGCTTACTGAGCATGGTGTGAAGCAGTGATTGCACCGCACCACCAGCACAGTGTTGTCGATGCAAATAGAATTGCACGCGCTGAGAGGTCTGTGGCATGGTGGCTGCAATGGCAAAGGGGTTTGCACCCACCAGATGGACGGTCCCATGACAGCGATCCAGTAACAACGGCAGCGTACCGTAAACAAAGGCATGTGAGTATAAGTCATCCATTTGAATGCATGTAGATGTATTGGCAGAAAGCGGGGGATACATCATCAGAGCAGCGCTAAGCGATGGCTGCAAAACGGGGAGGAATGTTTCGTAGCCACCACCCCGTGCATGACTGCCGCTGCGACGGCCAACATTATTACTACTACCACTTCCATCACCGCCACGCAGCCCACTGGTTATGCGTGTGATCCACGACACCGGCTCCTCACGCTCCAGAATGAGGCTTGCCCAAAGGCCTCTGCTCCCGCTTCCACCGTATTGAGAAGAAGCGGCATCCGTGCCATGCCACCCTCCAATCCTTGCAGCAGCAGGAGCAGAAACTGCCATACTTGTTGCCACGGATTCCGATGTCCCTCCTGAAAGACTGCTCTTTACATCGTGTTCTCTCTCGCCACAGGCGACATCAAATGCACAGGAAATCCCCTGCCGCAAGACATGCAGAACGACAAGGTTGTCAATCACCTGCAGTGCCACAGGATCTCGTCGTGGATTGAGTGAAAAGTCTGGACGCAGCAGCGCATATCGCACAAAACTTTCTTCACTGCCGTTCTCAGCAGACAAGTAGCGATAGAGCATAGCGCCCCCGTCGTGACGAGAAAGGCTGCAAAGAAAGAGCTGACGATATAGGACAAGCAATCCGACAGGATACCGCACGCTGGGTCTGTCCATGCACGCGGGAGAAGAAAAGAGCAACGACATCTCACTATTCTCGCCCCCCGAGATGGCCCAGTCCTCATCACCCCCTCCATCACTATCCTCATCCTGCAGACGCAACGCGGGTAGTGGTCGCAGGCCCTCATCGCTCACTTCAAATGACTTCAAGATGCGTGACTTCAAGCGGTTGACGGAGAGAAGCGTTCTGGCGGCGGGGCAGTAGTGCCAGTAGTCAGAGTGTGTCGGGAAGCGCCGAAGGAGCACGCAAAGCTCCCGGCTGCCTACCTTCTCTTCCGTGGCACACGGCAGCAGCTCCTCGTCCACGCCCACCAAGTCAAGGCTAATGGTAGTGACGCAAAGAAGGATTCGGCGTCTAGAAGTGGCCGCCGATAAAAACTTTGCGGGAGTCAGTGAGGAGGCGTCGTCATCCGGCACATTCCTCCGTTCGTGCTGCTGCCGCTCCTTTCCTCCCGGCAAATCTACCATTGAACTCGCGCGTCGTGTAGGAAAATTACAAGATGGGCTCTGAGTGCCATGCAGCTCCTCTGCCCAGTAATACGCCTGAATGGGGTAAAAGTCGTCGCGGAATCGCAGGCTCTTGGGTGCACACTGAAACGTCGCCAGGGCGTATAGTGGCAACGCCCCCATGTGCGCATGACAGAGAACAAAAAGGACACTGCGTGTGTCAATGCTAAGTGCCACGAGGTACGCACGTTCGTCCCCGCTGTGGTAGCTATCACTGCTACATGTCATGGTGTCGTGGTAGCCGCAGTGAAGTGGGATGGGGCAGCGCTTTGCGTAGCGAACAGGGAGCAGCTCTCCGTCGCCTTCTCGGCTACTCACCGTCAACGCAATGGCGTCGGCCGGCAGGGCAGGGTGGTGACGCATCCACTCCACATCATCGGCGGCTGAAGAGGCATTTTCCCTCACCTTCTCACACGAGTCCTTATGACAATCCGCGACGGCGTCAACATTTTTGTCGGGCTGCGAGAGGGATGAGTTGGAGGCAATCGCCGCCGTCGTCGCCTCGTCGTTCCCGGGCCCCTCGCGCAGCCGCAGCTGGTAGAAACACACCTGCCTGGAGGCCCTGATGAATACGACGACGTCGTTTGCCACCTCGTCAATGTAGATACGCGTGACTCTGCTCGCATCGTTGCCCCCGGCACCACCACCACCACCAGCAGCAGCAGCAGCGGTCGTGCAAAATCGGAAAACGGGTTTTCGAAAGACCATGAATGGTGGAACTGTGGAGACATCCGTCATTGTGCCTCACCTCCAGCCCTCTTTCCAAAAAGGGGTGTGCACACGTAATATATATATACAAAAAAAAAAAAAAAGGTGGGAGAAAAAAGAAAAAGATAAAAAAAGTTGTCATCTCACACGCCCCTTTAGACGCAATTCAAAATAAATAAAATAAATAAATAAATAGCCCCCATTTCGTTATTTTTTTCTTTCCGTCTCCTTTTGCTCCAAAGCAAAAAGACACACACACACACAGAGAGGGAGAGAGGGAGGGAGAGAACCACGCATAGACAAGCCCTGTCCTTGTACCTCATCGTCGCGCCCATAACGAAAAAAAAAAAGTAAGAAAAAAGATGAACAAAGCCAAAAAAAAAAAAAAAAAAAAAAAGGTGTCGTCGCGATTAGTAGCCAAGCTCACGGCGCAAAAAAGACTTGGGGCTTGTCAGCCACGCCATGTCGTGGCTCTGCGATGTCATGATGGCGTAGAGAAACAACATGGAACACGTCGCCGGGGCTGTCATTGTGTGAAAGAGGATGTCAAAGGCAACGGACATCAAAAACACCGTTGTTAGCAGTGGGAAAGCGGCGTAAAAGCGGCCAATCATGTAGCAGCCGCAGCACCAGAGAAACACTTGGAACGCTCCCGGGGTACGCCACTTGACCCAACTCCAATACCGTGGCATCTCGTCCACGTTGCGTGCCATCCACTCCGGGAGGAACTTGTAGTAAAAGTACTGCGTGTCACTGACAAGGTTGCGGTAGCGGCGGTCCAGCGTTGGGCTTTTTGTGATGATCTCGTAGGCCTTGTTAATTTGGTACAGCCGCGGTATGTTGCCAACCCCCTTCGGGTCCAACTCCGGATGGACCTCCCGCATCAACTCGTGGTAGCGCAGCCGCAGCGTCTGGCTGGGGACCCCCGGCTTCACCCCGAGCACCTCCCACGGGTTGTACCCCGCCGCCGCCGCCGCCGCGGGCTCCTCCCCGCCATCGCCGCACGCATCGCTGGCCGCTCGACCGCCTCCCGCACCCGTCGCCGTCTGTCGTGTCATGCCACGCACGACGTCCTCCTCGTGTGGCTTCTGCGCGTGGCGGGACTCTTCAATGTCGGCTGGGACACTGCCGTACGGCGCGGCACCAGTGAGGAGACGACGGGAGGCGCTCAGCGGCAACGTCGCGCCCCAGAGCGCAGGATTATTCCCACAAAAGACGCCAATGGCAGGACGGAGAATTGCCGCCCGCCGCATGCCGCACTAAACACGAATCAAGAAAAAAAGAGGCGCAGTCGCCTCCGATTCCGCCAAATTTTAAAAGCCACGCAAAAATAAAATAAAATAATAAATTCCCTAAATTGCCCCTCCTTCTTTCGTACTGCTCCTACGCAAAAGCCACGTCCATGGCCGGAAGACACAAAAAAAAAAAAAAAGCAAAAACAACTCCACAAGCAGCCTCACCGCACATGTGTGCCATGCACGTGTTTTAAAAAAACCCTCCTCTTCTTCATACTCCTCCTCGGTTTTGTTCATGCGAAGAAAATGGACGCCACCACGGAACGCAGACAGAAAAACAAACAGATCACAACACCGCCAACAATAATAATAAATAAATAAATAAACGGCGCAGGTGTAAAGTTTAAGTTTTGGTCACTTAAAATATTATGAGCCCTGCACCATCATCTTAAACTATCCTCTGCTAATATTTCCCCTCGTTTCTGCTCTCCATGCTCACTCAGACCATTTTCCCCATACACCACACACATACACATACACAGCTGCATACTTACTTCTCACATCACAAAGGCCCAAAAGAGAAAGTGCATGACAAAATATATGCCCACAATAATCTCCGGTACGAGGAAGAGAAGTGTAGCCCATAAAAGTGTGCATATCACCGCCCACAGCCTCGTTGCCATCGCATAGAGAAACACCACAGCCACAAACAGCGCCACAGTCAGGCCAATCCGTGCGGGTGCCACGTCACGTGTGTTTCCAAGAGAAAGTGTCCGGCGCAGTGCCGGTAAACGTGGAAGGATGATGTATCCTGTCAGTGATGTACCGGCGTGATGCAAAAGCGCGGCTGGGTCAAAAATGCTGCGCCATGACCCTTGCTGAGGCCGCCCGTAGTAGGACATCAAACGTGGTTCCTCCATAATGAGAAGCGTGTGTGTGACACTCACAATGGAGCACTGAGCTTCCGGCACCGCCGCCGTGGAGGGCACGCACACCTTCAGAAAGACCGAGGCGTTCACCGCCAACGCTCCACCACTCCCGCGATGATCCCGCAGATAATCATGCACAGTGTGCAGATGTCGACGCCCGTAACGAGAAAAATCAGCAGCCATCGTCGCGTGTGCACGTTCTGCGGCTGTCGTGTTAACTTGGAACACAACCTCCGCGAGGCTATTCCTTCTACCCCGGCCCTCTTTCAGTAACTTCGTAAGTGAGACTGGGAGACCTGTGAGAATGGCGTTCGGACGCTTCGACAGCGGCACCTCGCCTCCAAGAATGTCACGCAGACTGTAGACAACTAACTCAAACTGTAAGTACGGTGCACTGCCTCGTTGGAGACGTGGTGGCTGCCAGTGCCTCAAGAAGAGCTGCAGATTATCCCACGCTTCGGTTGGACACAACGTTGAAAAACGCCACTCTCGCGGCACCCGTGAGGCTGCGTAAAAAGGCACGCGAAGTGGCTCCACCAACACACGGTTGTCAAGCGGCGGCGATTTAGCTGGCGGAAAGAACCAAAGGCCCGTCAGGTCCCCAGCCATAAAATAAGTGGTGTCCGCCAACAGACACCCGCGGCACTCTGTTGCGATACCAGGCACAGCGAATAAAATCTCCTCAATGGTGCTGAAGGAACGAATAGGGGGTAGATGGTTATCGTCGAACGTGCCGTCGTACTCGTCACCATGGAAAAGATCATTCAAGTCACTTTGAGCCGCAGGGATGCGAACACCCACAAACGTGTCGTTGTACCGATAAACAAATTGATGCCGTTGGGTAATCTCCGGCCTGGCCATAATAGAGAAGAGATAATTCACAAAGTCCGAGCGGTACAGGCCGCCATGCCGAAGAAGAAGGTGATGGGCGCTGTCAAGGCGGTGGTGTTCCACAATGCTAAAACTATTGATGAGTGCCACGTTATGCGGTGATCGATAACGGGCACCATCAACGGCACTACGACTACTGCTAATGGTGCCACTAATACCAATACGACCTGCGCTGTTCTCATACCAGGCATTCTCGGGCAAAGACGTTATATCGTCATCGTGTATTCCCCTCCCTCCCACACGATCGTGCCATCGATCACCAATAAGCTCAATACCAAACTCTGCACCACGGCGACGCACATCCCCCTCACACATCAAAAGCGGACGTCGGGCAATTGACCCCGACCAAGACGATCGTGCCGTGCCTTCCTCAGGAGCAGGCAGTGTACGAAGATGCAATCGAGCTAACGTCGGAAGCACCTTCACTACAAATGACACGGATGTTTTCCCTTTTGTGTGACTGTCCTCTGCAAGCACACCGCGGAGTGTAATGCGGAGCAACCGTGGAAGAAACAACTTTTTCTGCAGCAACTCGCTATCCTGCTGCTCGTTGTAATCGGCGTGGCTTAACATCTGAAAAAAGGGGCATGGTGATAATTGCAGGTACAGATGCTTTTTCGTCATGGACGATGCTGCCACCCGCATCCCGGAATGCATTTGCTGCAGACATGGCAAAAGACCCACCTCTGGTGAAGTCTCAGTGAGACCCGTGCTGTTTGGATTGTGCACCTCCTCCAGCAGAACGCGGTCCGTCGGGAACACATCCATCGCGGCAAACGTTGTCCCGCTGACGCTAACTTGAATAACAGGAACGCCGCCCTCCACCTCGCACTGCTTGATCGCCGCAGGGCTCGCCCCCACCGCGGGTGGAACGTCTACCACTTCCACCCGACCAAACAACACAAGTGACGCCGGGTCAGCGCCTGCCGAAACGTTGGTGCCGCAGAGCACGTCTTTATGTACCGCGGCGCGAAGGAAAAGGTTGTGTGGTACCGTGAAGGGTTCGTGAGGCGGCAGCGTCAGACGGATAGCGGCGACCCCCTCCTCAACGACGCCCTCATACAACCGCAGTATCCTCTCAAAGCGTTCCTCTGATGTCAACTTCGCCGGCAATGCCGGAAGTTCCGCTTGCTTCATCTCGGCACGTTTTGCACGGCGCACCCGTTCAATCTCATCCAGCTGGCTCTTTGTGATGCGGCGACGTGCGAGGGCGGCCTGCAACTCCGGGGGCAGCCCCGTCACTTCGATGCCTTCGCGCGTCCAGCGATATTCCCGTTGCAGCCCCTCCAGCTGCTGCTCAATGACGTCCAGCGTCACCAATCGCTGCTCTTTCGGCGGTACGCGATAGAGTTGGCGACGACGCAGTGTCGCCTCCGTGTCATCCGGCCGCGGCAGGAGGTGGGCAAGGGAGACAAAAAGCGGCTCACACCCCACGTGTTTCTCTCGCACCGCCGCAACATATTCCAGCCACTCACGCGCGGTGCGCCCCTCGGCGCCATCGGGGCGGTTCACCTCCGTCCAAAAATTTAACACATCGGATGCCCGAACGGTGCCGCGGGCACAATTCGCAAGCAGACTGTGTCGTTGCCGCCCGTCTTCCGATGATTGCGCAGCGTGGACGTAGCCCCCCATCTGCTTTGGCTGCGCGGTGTCAAGGCGAAGCAACACGACCACCGCTTTCCCCTCGTTGCTGATGTCAAGCTCTGTTGTAACTATGTCAGGCACGCCAAGAAGACTTAACATGGGACGCATGGAACGCTCCTCACGCGTTAAAGTGGCAAAATGAAGAAACGGCAAAAATTGCGCAATTTCACCGCCACGAAACAGTGAATTGCGCGTCGATCCGCCGTCGCCCCATGTTGTCGCCCCATCGATGATTTCACTCGTCATAAAATCACCGCCGTGAGGGCACAAACGCGAGGATCCAAGTTGCTCCTGTGCCAGAAACATGTGATGCGAAACCTCTTGTGGGTGCAAATGTCTTGCTGCGGTCACGGTGACAGAGACGCAGCGCCGTGTGGCGTCGGCATGGACGTTCGACCAACGTGTCTGGCTTGCGACCCACCAGGGCAGCGAACATCCTCGCGCCTCAAGTCGGGCCGCGCCGGACTTCACAATCGCCTCAAATGATGCCGGTTCAACAAGACGCGCCCCAAACGACGGCAAAGATGATGATGATGATGTGAACAAAATGCCTCTGCTCTGCGCCCCCTCCGCATGCAAGCAGATGGAAATTTGACCACGTCCGGAGTACGCATCGCACTCGTGACTGAGCGTCGTGTTTGCAGAGAGAAAAGCCGACACGCGCTCAATCTCAAATTCTTGGCGCGGCACATATGGGCACCTCTTCGTCAACATCGGGCCAAACGCACGAGGCGAGAGGTGAACTTCGTACTGCAGGCGTGTCAGGCCAATGGGCAAGTTTGTCACAATGACGACTTGGTGCCCAGCGCCGAAACGGCTACCCGTGCTGCTCTCGTTGGACACAGTCTCGACGCGGAGACGTGGACGACGCAGCGTCAGAGGACTGGACGACGCCTCCGTCTCCGTCAGCACCCAATGCAGGGTGGAGGTGGTAGCAAGGAGGTGGACACTCTGTGAAAGGGTAACAAGACGGTTCGAAGGAAGATTTTCCGTCAACACCAGCAGACGCACGGTTTCGTAGTCTACCAGGAGACGCCGTTGCTTCTCCTGTTTTTCTTCGCCATTACTCTGCGTATCGGGATCTGTGGGAGAAACAGCGTACACAGCCCAGCGAACCGTAAGAATGCCAAACGGAAGTCCACGCACTACTGTTCTTGGCCTCCTTCCGTGATCGAATCGGATACCCGTAAAATTGGCACCGCTAGTCCACGTCTCGTTCTCGGACGTCTGCAGCGACACCACCTCCCACTGCCCAAAGAACTCACATCCAATTTCACGCGGAATGGGTACGGCCTTCAGCACCGCGGAGTCTCCGCAAACCGTCAGCTCCTTCTCAATGACCTGCGCGTGCACAACGTGTAATGTCTCCACGATACTCGAGTTCGGGCAGACGCCTGGATACATGGGATCCGGGTGGTAATAGCCAAACGTATACAGCCCAGGGACGCGTATTCCTGACACCAATACTGTGGCATCCCCAAATCCCCTTTCAAGCGCAAGCGGATGTCGAGGGAGTGGCAGGAAATGTATGGAATCAAGCAGCCGTCCGGTGCCAACGGGGGATGGAACCGCCGGCACGACGCTGAGGGCCGTCCACCTAGAGGTCCGACCCCCCACGTGGGCATCGACATGAAGAATAAGTTTTTTCCCAAAGATCCATCGTGTTCTTGTCCTTCTGTTTGTTGTGTCAGGGCTACCGTTGGTCTCTAAACGTGTCGTCTGCTTGGAGCGTGTAGTGCCGTTTGCAAAACACTCCCCCATCGCAGCGTTGTCACTCAAAATTGCAAACGTCGGCGGCAACGGTGTTGGGTACACTCGCCGCAGTAGAAACGTATCCTTCTGCACGGTTTCTGTCAAGTCATTCCGCACTGTCAAACTGCAGCGTGTGTCGTTCGCAGGCCCATTGTGACGCAAAATAGAAGCCGTCGGTGTGCGCCGCTCCACCACGATAACGCCATCGTCCTCGCACGACCATAAAAAATCAAAGTTGTACTTTGTGCTCAGCCACGGATGACGCGAGAACAGAAATGACGGGTAGCAGAACGGAAGTACACCATTTTCCACAACCGGCACTACACCACGAGGATTGACCGAAAAAACAGAGATGTTTCCACGCTGCAGAAGACACATCCCGCATCGTGCAAATTCCGCAGCGTCTCGGCTTGGCCCCGTTGCAGTCGGGGAGGGCCACACCTTGTACAAAAGCGGGTAATGGGAGCTGTTGTCGAGGCCGTTAAACCACACTTTTCGAAGCCCGGAAAGATGTGTAAAAAAAAAACGGGTGTCCGAGGCAAGGTCCAAAGCATAATCGCGCTCTCGTGCCCTGTCAGTCACTTGTTGCTCCAAATTCACAGCCTCCTCTGTATCCCCAACGCGCAGGATGCTCTTATCATCTGCCATACTATCATTATTATCATTATCATTAGTATTTCTATCATTTCTATCATCTCTCATCTTATCACCACCCAACGACAGCAATGAGCGGCGGAGAAGTAGCGGTGCTGCAGCAGCGGCAGCGGCCATCTCATCGCTCAGACCGTCATCGCCTACACGTTCAAAGTGTTGCTGCGTGACCCCAAGCTGATGTGCGGCGTCATGGGCGTATGTGAAGGTCACCTCAAAGTCCTGTTGCAAACCCGAGTAGTTGAACGAGTAGCCAACCGTCGCGCTGTAGCCCGCAACTGGAATGACACGTCGTGCTGTGTAGCGAGGCACTTGTTTCGTCGTATTCTTCGCGCTCCCCCCAACGTCCATATCATCAGGGACGTCGTCATATCCGTCAAGCCACTCAATCAAAGGCAGCGCGTAAACGGAAAGCGAAATGTCGCGTGGTTCCTGTAGGTCGTCCTTGTGAAACAGCAGCTGTGGGGGACTTTGGCAGCGCCGCAGGGAGAACGTCTGCGTGACAGCCGCGACAGGGTTCCGCGCCGTCCAAACAACATCACACCACCTGTAAACCTGGACGCCGCACACCAGCACCTCCTGAACCTCCTCCTCTTCTAAAGAAGAAACGTTATGTTCTGCCTTCTTTCCTTTCTCCAGCCCCGCGATGTATGGTGGTGACTGTGGCGCCTCCTCGCAGTGGGGAACGTGCCAGCGTGCGTCCTCGTCCTTCCAACGGGGACGTGGTGCCCGCAGACGAACACAGTCGTCTTCCGTGTAAAAGGGCACCAGGGCCGGCACAATGGGCGGTGCCGCGAGAGCCACCACCGTCACTGTGTGCTCCACAACCCGCGGCGGGCAGCGAGATGTGTACGGCACGCCAAGGTCGATCGCCTCGCCGGGATCCTCCGCAACAAATCGTAGTGTTCCCTCGCGCAGCCTCTGCGGAATGTTTGGGACACCCGATGTATCCAACTCCGCCACGAACGCATCATCCACTGACAGAAGAAGCAGCGGTGCGGCGACAAGCCAGTGACCGATTGGCACTTCATCCACCGCAACCTCCAGTGACCGGGGAGGATGAACCTTCATTCGGCGCAGACGCATCGCCAACGTGACGTTCACGCTATTCGGCATTGTGGACATTCGGCGCACCACAACGGCAGGGCGGGAACGCACCTCCACTACGACCACGCCCCCTTCATCCACGGTGTTGGCAACAATGCGGGCTACCGACGGGTCCAGGCTATGCGGCGGCACCAACGCCGTTTCGTTCACCTCAACCCGCACCACCCATGCCAAATCCGCCACGCCACGTTTCCGCATCTGCAAAACACCGCTAGTCCCGCCATTCGCAACTCGAGTGCGGATGTCACACGGCCCAGCGCCGCGTTCGGTGCAGTCAAACCGTCCCTCCAAAAAGTTTTGCTCTTGCAACGGCCCCCACGAGGTCCCTTGGAATCGCACTGGTAATTGCATTGAAGAGCGTATTGTCGCCACCACATGTTTCAGGGCTAATGCCTCCACCGGAACATCATCATGACACGCGGTCAGAGGCGAAATGGACGGCTGCAACAAGATGCCTTGAAGAGCCCACACCTCTTGCACCTCAAGCAGCACCGGGTCACAGACCTCGTCCACATCGCGCACGTAGAAAAAGATCTCATTGCGGCCGACAAACATCAGATATAACGCCGTCTCCTCCGTGTATGGGTTGTGTCGAATCCGTTTCAAAATCTGCGGGAGCGGTTGGTCGTTCAGTGGGGTATTCTCCCAATATCCAAAGTACTCTGCTGGCTGATGCTGTGGCGACAATGCACCCTGCAACTCGAGATAAGTACGTGTACGCTCCGAGAGCCGCAGGTGTCTCTCAAAGCCAAAGTGCAACTGCGGTGGCCCCCGCTCCACATCCTGGGGTCTATCTATCGGTAGGCGGAGAAGAAAAAAACCCGTGGCTCTTTGCACGGCGGTCCCACGAGATACCGTAAGATTCACCTCGTACTTGTGGTTTGGAAGCACCTCGAAGTAGCTGCAATTTGCGTGGTGCCGAAGCAACGCACCAGAGCTGTCTGTCCGCATCGGCACGTGTAGCAACTCGTCGAGAACGATGCTCCCGGTGCGGGTGTCCGTCACAACCCATTGAACCTTTGTCGCTGGCAGCTGTGACGGTGCCACGGCGACCGAAGCTGCCCATGCCTTCTCCCGCAGCTGCACAATGTTCTCGCCATGGTGGGGTGTCGTTGGGGGCAGCAGCGGATGCACGCCGCAGTGCGATCCCAAACCAAGAACAGATACGGGCAAAAGAGTATCTGGACGCACCTGCAGCAATGGCATCACCAGTAATGTGTGCGGACACTTGCATTTGATTGCCACGTTCGCAATCTTAAGATTAATGTTGGCGGGTGCGGCGGTGGCAAGATCCTCTGCGGCGCGATACAGCGGGATGCGAAGGATCCCCTCTCCCACCGCACCAGAAACAAGAAGGATGACATCGCCATCGCCGTCATTTTGTTGTCGAACATCCTCCGTCGTCAGTACATAATTCGCGTCGTAGCGTCGCTGGCGCACCGTATCCATAATAATGACATGCTCGCGAGGAAACATCCGACGTTTTTCCTCCCTTGTCAGCACCTGAAATGGTGAGGCTTGTAGCAGCACTTGGAGGAAGACGTCATACAAGGCTTCATCCCGCAGCAATGTACCGTTATATTTGTAACCGCAGCAAAGACTCAGCTTGAGCGTTAGATTCGACGCAATAAGAAAGCTTGCGGGAGTGAGTACGTCGCTCATGGTGAATGTCCCGGAGGCCCACGCCATGGAAGAGAGGGGGCACCCGTGATCCACGCTGCACAACGACGTGCCATCCCCGTCACGTAAAAAAGGGGAAAAAGATGAAGAAGAATGCGGCAGTCGAAGGCGTTCATTCAACTCCGAAAGGGTCGGTGGCGGTGGCGGCGGCGTTAACATGTCATAACTTATCTCTAGCGTTCTTGTCGCCGCCAGCGTGCAGCCGCAAAGAGAAAAAAGCACCCAAAATGTCACTGCCGCCCGCAGCAGCGCCTGCCGAAATGACCGACGATGCTGCCTTTCCCGTACGTGAGACATCATTTATATCCCACAGACAGAAAAAAAAAAAATATATATTTTTTTTAAAGTGACAACTTTCCTCCCACTTTTTTATGAAGTCTTGTGTCTTGTGTTTTTTTTGTGGGTGTTTTTTTCTGTCTTTTTTAATTATTTTTTCTATTTTTTCCCTTTTTTTCCCTTTTTTTTTTTCACGGCCCCACCAGCACTCCCCGGGGTTGAAAGCAACCCTCCCCAGTAAACACATGCAAGTCATTGACATGTTAAAAAAAAAAAAAAAGAAAAAAAAAAAAGGGGAAAAGACAGTCAAATGCTCACAGACATGCGCATGCACACATATTTACAATGCTCTCAATTTATTTTTTTTTTTTTTTTTTTATTGCTGCTTTTAAGCATGCATGCAGAAAAAAAAAGATAAAAATAAAGGGAGAAAAGAGAGAAAAAAAAAAAAAAAAAAAGAAAAGAAAAGAAAAGATGTCCACACGCACAATTGAAAGCCATTGCCTGCACTCCACGTGTGAAACCCCCCGCGCTCTTCAAGAAGGCTAACACACTAAAAGTAAATAACCAACAAAAACAGTTTGAAGAAGAAGAAGAAAAAAAAAAAAAAAAAAGCAAACAAACAGCAGCAAGGCAAAATAATAATCATAATCATAATCGTAAAACCACTAAAAAAAAAAAAAAAAAAAATTGGGCTACACAAATATATAAACATATGCAAACACACACACACACACTCACTCACTCAGTCACTTTTTCTCGGTTTACTAGCGGTGGCTGTGCCGCCTCTGCTACAGAAGGAAATACAGCCAAACCCCCTTCACATGTCTGCTCCGACTAGCCACCGCCTCCCCATCACACACACACACACACACACACACTCTCTCTCTCTCTCTCTTTACCCATGCGTGTTTGGTGCGTCAGCCCGCAAGAGAAGAAAAAAAAAAAAAAAAAACATCTCGTGAAATGAACACATTATTGGTAAATAAATGAAATAATATATATATATATATATATATCGTGACGTAAACAAAGAAAAAAAAGAAAAAGAAAAAATGAGAGAAAAAGAGTCTACCTCCACATGGTGAATTTGCCACTTGTCACAAAAAAACGCCTTCAATTATTATTAATTTATTCCTTCATTTATTTATTTATTTATTTATTTTTCTTGTCAGTCGCGTACATCTTCCCTCCGTCTGGCCGGCTACATTACATCTCAGATGGTACAGTGAAGAAGAAAGCGTGAAGGCGAGTTGGAGCGGCGTTCACGGTGAAGTTTGTCGCCACTGCGACGCCCTGCCCTCCCACTCCCACTCCGCGTCCAGGACGCATGCGGGGGCCTCCTGTTGGGCTCCGGCAAAGTCCCACGACACGGCGCAGGCACAAGTCTCTCTCTCTCTCTCACGCCATCGGAGAACGAGGGGTGAGAGAAGGGAAGGGAGGGAGGGAAATAAAAAAGAAAACGAGAAAAAAAAAAAGATGCGGAGCAAATACAACGCCGCGCATAAAGAAAAGAAAAGAAAAGGAGGTGGGGTGACGGAGGCGGTGTATTTCAAAAAAAAGGAAAAAAAAAAAGCTGAAGAGAAGTGAGCGCCTAATTTATTCCACTGTTGCTCTTGCTGTCGCCTCACCCTCACACGCATCCCACTTTATTTGGGGGGTCACTTTTTTCATTCCCCACCCGCCTCCTCCAGCACCTCCTGCAGCTTGCTGTCAGGGCACGTGATCCATTCGTGTGTCAGCAGCTCCTCGGCCGTCGCCCGCTTATTCGGATCATTTTCGAAGCACCGCGTGAAGAAGGAGTACAATTCCGCAGGACAGTTGTTCGGCACTCCCGTTGGCATCGACGTGCTCTTCGAGATTTGATACATGATCTGGAAGGCGTTTGCATTACTTCTAAAGACCCATGGCTGACGTCCAAGCATCTCAAGCACCAGGCATCCAACAGACCACACATCCGCCGGCTTGGAGTAGCCGCCCTCGCATTTGACCACTTCAGGCGCCATGAACAGCGGGGTTCCGACCATTGTTTGGTAGCCAGCGCCTTTTCCCCCACAGCTATCTTGCTGCATCGTCGCCGTGCCGATGCGTTTACTGCATCCAAAGTCTGCAAGTTTCGCTTCGCCGAGTGCCGAGATGAGGACATTGTCGCCCTTTAGATCCCTATGGACGACATTCATGCTATGTAGATAGGCCAATCCCTCCAGAATCTGTTTCGCGTAGGTACGAACAAGCGAAATGGAAAAACGCTCCTTCGCCCGTTCAAACTTGCGACGGAGATGCGACAAACTACCTCCATGACAGTGCTCTAGAAAGATCTCCAGCTGTCGAGCTCCACTAGAGAGTTCTTTTGTCTGGCAGCCGTAGTACGCAACTATGTTTTTGTGCTTCAACGATCGCATCAAATTTATCTCACGTTGAATGCCCGCCACGTTTTCGGCGTCTTCATCGAGCGAAATTTCCAGCACCTTCACGGCCATGATCTTCCCCTCGCTCGTGATGCCCTCATAGACGCTGCCAAAGGAACCCTTGCCGAGTAGTCCCATCTTGCTCCACTGTACATCCTCGTCCTCACGGAAGCTTATCGTCTGCGAAAAGAAACGTGCGGTGGAGCTGAAATTGACGGAGATGTTGCTGGAGCCAATCGGCAGGAAGTCCGCATGGCCTGGGGGTAAAAAATCATTCGATGAGTCCTCACCCACTGAACCCGTGA